CCCAAGGACACTGTGCAACAGAAAAAGAAAAAAGTGTAGATACATACAGTATATACAGTATACATAAGGTAGTGTGGGAGAAACAGAAATGCGGAGTACAGAACAGTCATATAATAAAATACAAAAATTCAGACAAATTGAACAATGGGGTTGTGGGGGGAGAAACATAGAAGTGTGGACAACAAAAACAGACCTATATTGAAAATAGGAATTAACAGCGGTAGGCTAATTAGAAAAGATGTGTCTTCAGGCCAGTCTTAAACAGGGAGAGAGATGTGGTATTGCGTAATCCATGAGGTAGTGAGTTCCAGAGCTGCGGAGCAGAGCGGCTGAAAGCTCTGCTCCTCATGGTGCTGAGGTGGGCAGGGGGTACTGCGAGTTGGAGGGAGGAGGCAGATCTTAGAGAGCGGGAGGTGTGGAGATGTTCAGGAGGTCAGACACGTAAGGAGGGGAAAGATTGTGGATAGCTTTGAAGGTGAGTACGAGAATTTCTKATGAACTTCTGATGAAATCTCCCAAGTGCTAGCTTTATTTTAATACCAAGATTTTTTTAATTAGAGTTTGTAAATGCTGAGACACATTCAATTACATTTAGGCACATTATTTTGAGAACAAACATAAAAAAACCATTGGGGCTGAAGAGGTTAAGTTATTTTAATAAGTGAGCCTGACRTGCCAGCTTCACCAGACTTCTAATAACAGCCTCTGTGAATTCGGGGGATTTCCAGTGAATGTGCCCAAATCTGAAGAATGGCCTGCATCTGGGATTTGACATTAAACACTCAGTGCCTGCTGCTTCCCTCATCAGCAGCTGCTGCAGGACACTGAAACAGTAAACCTTAGAAGTCTGCTGTAGTTCAAGCTCCCAGCTTAAATGGCCATTTCTAAGAGACTACATGGTGTGTGTGTGACAGTACGCTATCAATGTAGACTGAATCAGCTGTTCATTATTGCAGTATTCTTAAAGTTTTTCCATTGTTATACAAGACTGTTTAATCCATAAACAGATAATAAATTATATAACAGTTGATTAGGCTTTTTGTTAAATGGTTTTATTAATAATGTTTGCACGCTTTAATCTACAACAGTGAGGGTCATGAGTTACTGTGACTTTTTTCCCGTGGGTTGAAAGCTAACAGGTTTGGGAACCACTAATCCATGAGGTCTCATCAGGACTGAGTCCCGCAGAACTTAAGTCCTTTCAGAGGAGGAACCGATCTGTGTTCTCAGTCAACATTAGTCCTGAACACAATATGTGATCTGTGTGAACAAATTAGATTTCTGTGACATATTTTAGCAGAATGTACTCTTACTGTGTTTACTCTACGTTTCCTGTCCTATCTCCATCAGTTCTTTCTTGGTGCATTTATAGCTCTTAAACTCAGCCATAAAATTTAAACTGCATTGTGTACTTTGTGAAGAACAGTAGGCCAATATTTTTTTTAATTTTGGTTTGCTTAATCTTAAAAACCTCAATTTTACCTCAAATGTGTCCTGATGTTTTTGTTCCCTCTCAACGATATTTGACTAAATTGAATTTGAATTACCTTGTTATAGAAAAGATCTCAGGTTTTACTGTCAGTTCACTGGTGTCTAATCAGATGATTGCACCTCAGTTAGGAAACTACATGCAGGAGAATCAAGTAGTGTTTGCTTTCATGTTTTGTCAGAGGTTTTTCAAGAGCTGTGACACTCAGATAAATCTGAAATCAAATGTTCTAACAGGATGTACTCTGCAGATAGAAAGTTGGAATCAAAGAAATATTAAATAAACGACAGTTCTGTCATTGCAAAAGTGGGATTTTACTCCAAAATATGACAGAAATGCATAACTAGTTTTGCACGCATTTAAACTTTGTGTTACARTGTATCAGTGTTTGATTCTTAGAAGAAAGTGCAGAAAAAAGGAGACGTTAGCTCAGCTGGCAGACAGTGTTTTCCCCCTAATGTGGGTTACTAGATCCTTCTAAAGTTTAACCTTTTCCTGTCTGAMCTTGTTGGTTTAAGACTGGAAAATGATGCTGGCACTAACAAGCTAATGGATCCATTTCCATCAGCTGACTTTCATCGTCCTAATCTAAGTGTGTCAGGACACCCAGATGTGCAGACATWTGCTTTATAACCCTAAGAATGTCTTATTATTGTAAAAGACAAACCAGAATCATGTTGCAGGCAAAGCTACTTATCTTAGGAGGTAAATGTACAAAACCAACATCTGATGTGATGGGGTTTTTTTTTAACTTCACAGGTGCTTCACCTTCCAACGCCATCACCTTAGAGCATAAAATAACCAAAACCTTGTACATTTAACTAAACAAATATACAAGATTTCATAGTTTTACAATGTTTTAAACATCATTGTTAGTAAAATTAATTGAATAATGTTCTATTTAAGTTCTTTCAGGGTCCACTGGTGGTGCTGAGGGGTAACCTAGCCATTAATAGCAAGTTGTAGTGTCAAGCAGGGGTGTCATCGGTTGATGCATTCAGTCCGAATCCTGAATGCAGAATCCCTCAGACCAAAACGAAACATGTTTATGCTTTACTCCAGCATAGAACTGTTTTCATTTAAACAAGACTTGGGGAACAAAAATGAGTCAAAATGCTGAGTAGAGTGAGATTTGACTGTGTGGCGACAGATGTCCATTCATCAGGTTAGAGCGATCTTACCTGCTTTTTGCGATATTTCTTTGTCAGCAACAGTCGCAGCACAGATATTTCCTTTAGCAATGACCTCTGGGTGAAAAGGTACACAACTTGCTTAAAGCGTAGCACAGTTCTRTACCTGCCATTTAATTGCTTAACATGAGTCCAATCCTGTCGATTTAAAAAKACTTTAAAAATCTGCCTATTGCTTTTGACCAAATATCAATCAGTGTATATCTGGTAGTTGTTATCAAGGTACTGTAACTCATGTAGGAAACTCTTTAACTTGTGTTTTCTTTTTTGGTTCAGGAGGAAAAGCAGCCATGGCTGATGGACGCAGACCAGCTGAACGTTGCCTCTCTGCAGCCATGTGATGCGCCTCCTCCTCATGCTGACCTCCTCCAGCCGCCCTGTTCCAACCATGACAGGATGTGAAAGGTGTCCGACCCCCGTGCGCTCATACTGGCGCTGCCATCGTGCCGCGTGAGCGCCCCCCTCTCTTCCGGCAGTTACTGCACGGAATGGCCTCTCTGGACCTGCCATACCGCTGTCCTCGCTGCGGGGAGCACAAGCGCTTCCGAAGCCTGTCGTCCCTACGCGCCCACCTGGAATACAACCACACGTAYGAGACCCTCTACGTCCTGTCCAAATCTAACAGTGTGTGTGACGCCGCTGCTCTGCTGCCCCTAGTGGCTGAGGGGGCCCTCCTCACGCCCGCCAACAACAACGACCCGTTCGAGCCGCTCCGGCCCTCGGCTTTAAACGAGCGACGCTTTCCCTGCAGGGAGCTTCCTTGTGCGGACGACCTGAGCGTGACCCCGGCTAACTCCAACTCTGCAGCCAGGTAYATTCCAAATGTGGAGTTCCCACTGGGGGAGCTTTTCATGAAAAAAGCAATGACATCYRCCGATCCGGGCCCCCATGGAAACCCCAGCACAGCTGTAGCTGTGGCAGCGAATGTGGCAGCCAGTGCTGTAGAGGCTGCCTACGAGGAGGGCCTGGCCAGGCTGAAGGCGCGGGCGTTTGAACGGCTGGAGCTGGATGAGAGGCTGGAGAAGCTGTCAGAGGAGGTGAGAAGGATCGCTGTTATCAGAATCAACTTTATCAGATAGAAGTGTTTTGGAATCTGATTCTGGCTTGTGTGGACCCTGTCTCGGTGGAAGTTTGATTTCTAGAGAGGGCTAATTGTACAGTGCAGAAGCAATCAGAGGACACACTTGTCCCCCGCTGTCATTAGGTTAGATGTTTAACTCTCAAGAGCACCCTTCTGGACACTCTCCTGCTTTTGAGAACCTTGAACTCAGCAATGGATAAAGTGATTGAGCCACATGCTGAATGTGAAACAGGAAGTCCACTCTTACTAATAACAAGTAAGAACAGCCAAGATGTAAAACAATAGGTGTTTAGTGTCTCTGTTATGAGACTTTTCAAAACAAAGTGATTATAGAGTCARTAAGATTGGAAAACCTAAAATTTCATGGTGACCAACCTCTGTAGTTATCAGACAGGTGTAATGTTTTAGTGGATTAAGGTGATGAGTTGTGTAAAACTTTAGCATACATGGTGGTGGGCGATATGCATTTCATCATCCATCCATCCATCCATCCATCCATCCATCCATCCATCCATCCATCCATCCATCCATCTTCACTTGTTCCAGAGTCTGTTCATCATCTCTCCATCAAGTCCTGGGTCTCCTCCCAGTTGGACATGTGTGAAACACCTCCCTAGGGAGGCTTTAAGGCAGCATCCTTGCCAGATACCTGAACCACCTCAGCTGGCTCCTCTCGATGTGGAGGAGCAGCAGCTCTCCTCTGAGTCTCCCCTCTGTTGAAGCATCACTTTACAATGGTGGAGGAGTTTGTGTGTCTGAATGATCGTAGGAGCTCTGCTGTTGGGGGCTGTAAAAATCGCCCCAGTTACGGTCTCCCAAGCCAGATTAGTTCTAGGTGACAGGACACACAAAGAGTGATTCACAGCAGTTTTATGGACATGCAAAATCCAGGAACTCAGTGTCCCTTGCCCAAACGTGGGTTACCAGGGTTCCACCCTTGAACCAGGCCTGGGGGAGGAGCTTGTTGGCGAATGCCTGGTGACCGGGTCTATACCCAATGGGGCTCAGCCCAAATGAGCAACATGGGTTTGCCCTCCTAAGGAGCCCACCACCTGCAGGAGGGAATTATGTTAAGGGTAGTGGCCCAAAGTGCTCTGATCCTGTCATGTCATTATTCTCTTCTGCTAAGTCATTAAAACTTCAGTTTATAAGTTTATTAATGTTAGAGTTATTATATATGTAGAGACACAGGCCAACAGAACTCTTTGTTTATATTAATATTATAGTGATAATTACTGTTCTATAGTTTATGACCTCACCTGTAACCAGCAGTGTTTTATACAGTTTTGATCAGAGACGGTCATCAGGCAGCGCTCAGTCGCCCTCTTTGTCTCGTAGGTGGAGCAGAAAATAGCGGCCCGTGTAGGCCGTCTCCAGGCGGAGCTGGAGAGGAAGAGCTCTGAGCTGGAGCGGGCCAAGCAGGAGAGCGAGCGGCTGAGCCAGGAGAAACAGGACCTGGAGGACAAGGCCTCGGAGCTGTCTCGGCAGGTGGACGTCTCTGTGGAGATGCTAGCTAACCTCAAGCAGGACCTGGTGAACAAGGAGGCGGAGCTGAACCACAAACAACAGTAAGTGGAATTAAATCATTTTACTATATATACTTCTTTTGCAACGGTCATTTTACTGTTTTTAGTATGTGCATTTAAGGCAATTTACTGTGTTAAAATGTCAATTTTTTATGTCGTAAAATTTAAAAAMATTGTTGTCTTTTGCAAATTAGCGTCTGTTTGTAAATTTATRAGTGCCGCTCACGTCAGTTTCCAGTTCTGTTGGTCCTAATTCTGTGCTAATCGACAAACACAGCTGCCTTTTCCCCCCAAACAATGACTAAAGCAGAGCAACACAAATTAGTGCAGAGACACAGAAAAGCTGACCTGTTAATCATCAAGAGCCTGTAATTTACTAACGACACACACGCAGCTCGTTTCTTGTAGCCAACACGTTGTTTGAACATGAACGTTCTTTCCTGTTCAGTTGCAGGACTTAAAATGTGCTACARTTTCAAATGTGTTTTTTAAAAATCTACTTCTAATTGACCTTCTCATTTAAGGTGTTTGTTTTTATGGTTGAATGTTTGACACAAGTTAAAACGTGATCAGAGTGAACCAAAATAAATAGAACTTTTTGACATATTTAAGTACTGGTTATCACTAGAGGTCTTATTTACATACCCAGAGGTTAATAAATAGAAACTGTTATGATGTCTTAGATTACACTGACTATATACCCACTGCTATGATGTCTTAGCTGCCTTTCTTTTTTCTCTCTTTCTTTTATTTGTATAATTTCTTAAAGAATAGAACACACTTTGTATTGCTTTGCTGCTGAAAAGTGCTATATAAATRAATGTTACCTTCCCTTATTTAAGAAAGAATAAAATATATCAACAGATAAAATAGTGAAAATAACATGAGCAAAACTACTACATTCATGATAAAAWTAAAAGAAATCTAAAACAGGATTTGATTTGATTTAAAAGCAAAATTTCTACTATTACTGCTCCTGCCCACAAATGAACAATTTTTGCTTAATGATTATTATAGGTTTAATGATGCTTATTAAAAGATTTATTTATATTTTTAATGCACATATATAAACAGGAGAGAATGTAAATGAATATGTTGACGGTCACTGTAGATCAACTGTTTTTTCTGACCCATATCAGATTTTACACCAATTTGTGATCAGCGTTTTGATTTATAACTGTCATGATTTGTGTCTGTGCTTATGATTCAGTCTAAGTTTTCTGTCTTTTCCTCCTGTTTACTTCCCCCTGCCTGCCTTTGCTTTAGCCCCGCCCACTCACACCTGATCCTCATGTTTCTTCCACAGGTGTTTCTTGTTTTACCTCATTAGTTCTTTCTTTATATTCTGTCCTTTGTCCTCAGTCTTTGTCAGATCCTTGTTCTCTGTTTACTGTTTGATGTTCACATTCCTGTCCAAAGCCCTTGTTCTTGTTTGCTGCCATGTCAGCACCTTTGTTTTTTTTTAATAAATCACTTTTTGCCACCTCACTCAGTTCTGCATCTTGGGGTTCTAATCAACCAAGCTCAATCATAACAAAAACATTCTAATTTACAATAATTATTAAAATCAAGGCTAAATTTTGTATTTAATCACATGTATTTAGAATGATTTTACAATAACATCTAAGACTTAGCAGCCTTTTGACATTATGGACATAATAGGGAGTGAACCCGGTTAATGACTCAGTGATGACTTGTTGGAACGGTTTATCGACTTGCTACCTCCTCTTACCCTCTTTCCCCTCATTCGAAGTTAATGATCTCATGGAGTCTCTCTGCTCTGCACTGAGCTCATGTCTGTCTGACAACCAAACCTTCTACCTCCAAACCACCTCAGGCACGGCTGACTGAAGCACCAATMTCAGAGCTGCTCAGATAAAATGGCACAAACCCCAACTGGTCTCATTAGCTGTCAATCAAATCTAGCATCCACTATAAAATAGTTTCTTACAAGAATACATCTGCTGCAGGTGTGATGTTCAGTCAGCAGTTGGGGGTTACACCTGCCCCCKTTGTATCCATCCTGATGTCCTTCAGAGCCATTTGAGCAGAATGGATGGTTACAGCCGGGCAAGTAGCAGATAGCTCATCTCCCCGCGTCCTGCCAGTCCCTCCATAAAGCTGCCACGCTGCTTCGTGAACTAATACGACGGCTGAACCTGAAATAGACTTGGACRTAAATCACAGCGTTGGGAAGCAAGCTTGGACATTATTTGGATCCCTCTGGTGGCACAAAAAAAAGTGAGCACTGGAAGGCATTCAGAGCTTTTACTGAAATTAATCCCAGGATGATTTAGCACGTGTTCCAAACACGGCTGTTATTTTTAGTCCGAGGAGCTGAAGAAGCAACATGAAAGATAAAGTGTTTTACTGGAGACAGGCTTCGTTAAATAAATTAGTTTACTTTTTTTGCTTGTCTTAATAGATCTGTTTAAAAAAACATAATTAAATATCAAAGACTATTTTCCCATTTAATAATTGTAAATGTTTAGATCAGAGCAACGTGCATGGAGATGGAGT